CTGAAATGGACCTATGAAGAGAAATATATTATAAATCAAAAGTACTTTAAAAAATTTCCCATTTAGATGGTTCTAGCTCACCCCCAGCATATTCCTTCCATATTCCCTTGCCCTTCACAATTTTTCAATCTTTATCATAAACAGCAAACCCTCTCCTTTCCCACCATAGCCAAAATAAGACAAAGAAAAAGAAAAAAGAAAAAGACCCCGATGTCCAAAATAAATCAAATGACTGACTTTTGTCACAATACTTTTCTCTTAGTCAGCTACCAAACTGGTCATCATAGACAGTCTATTTCTTTTATAATCACTTCTCATTTCTTAGAGTCAAGAAGTTTTCTTTCCCCTTTGTCTCCCCTCTGTTGACCATCTCCAATTTCTCCTCTACATATCTAGTTTGTAGGTAGATGTTTACATGTTGACTCCCTCATTAGACTGTAAGCCTCTTGAGAGTGGAGACTGCCTTTACCTCTCTTTGAATCCGAAGCACTTAGCACAGTGCCTGGAACATAGTAGGCACCTAATAAATGCTTATTGACTGAATGACTAACTGACATGTTGGAGCAACAATGAAGGTATTTGGCAGAACCTGAAATGGTGTTATTGGTTTCCTGTCAGGGCTGTGTTTGAAGCAGAAATTTAATGACTCAACCTTATGAATATCCAGCAACTATGAAGTAAATCAGATAAATTAGAGGGAGATATTGCTTCACTCATTAAAGATTCAGATCTCAAAGTGATCAACAGGCAGTACCATTTTTACCCTGGGAGAAACTAAGAATAAAATAAACCCCAGAGATGCTCTTTCAAGTTCATGAACTCAAATTTTTCAGGCTTGTGTACCATTTTGAGAGGCAGCTTGGAATAATGGATAGAGTAAGATTGTCTCTGAGGGAGATGATGGACCGAGTTCAAGTCTAGCCTTTGACACATACTGGCTGCATGACCCTGAGCATATCGCTTAAAGTATCTCAGGCAACTCTAGTCTTAATTACATAGCAAGTTCTGGCCTGCGTTGGTTGAGAGAGTTACCTTAGCTGGGAGCTTCCAAAATCAAAGCAATAACAGATCAGGACCCCCTCCACCAAAGGACAATACTAGTGGAGAAGAGACTATCCATTCATTATCCTACCCAGTCTATTTTGTCACCAATACCATCACCCCCATAACAAAAACAACAAAAAAAGAAACAAGCCCTCACCAGGATGAGGGGGAAGATAGGTTTTGATCAGTAACCAATTTGATGATCAGGTTTTAATTAAATGACATGCTTCAGGTGACCCTGAGATCTCAAAGGCTCTGCCAATGGAACAAGATGTGGCAAGTCATGCCAAACAGGAAAATCTTTAATACCAATCTAGTTCAGACTATGTGTCTCTTGTCCTATATAAGCTAAATAATGAGTATAATAATAAAATGCTCACTCCAAAGTTACTTAGTCATCATGTGATTGGCCAACATAATGGACTTTTCCAAGTTGTTATCCTTCTTGACCCCTCTGAAGCACCTGAACCTTGACATTAAAAGAATTATGTAGAAGGCAGACATTATCAAGTGCTACAGAGAGGTCAAGAAGAATGAACAAAAAGAAAGGGCCATTTTATTGGACAATGAAAAGATCACTGGGGACTATGGAGAAAGTTAATATTATTTTACTGTTTGACCCTTTATCAAATGTTTGAAAGTTCACTGTACTTGACAATTAAGAGTATTCCTACTTCTCAGGGCAGAGCCAAAATGGTGGAGTAGAGGAAGCACTCAGCTGAGCTTTCCCAATATTCCCCTCCAAATAACTTTAAAATAATGCCTCAAAATGAATTCTGGAGTGGCAGAACTGACAAAAGGTCAGAGTGATACATTCTTTCAGCCCAAGAAAACTTAGGAGGCTGGAAAGAGAGATCTGTGATATGGGAGGGGAGGCTGGCCCAGAGCTCACGTGGATGAAACATCAATGAGAGGAATAGATGGTGATGACAAATGCAGCAACAGTTTTAAATGGGAGCTCTCAAGCCAGAGAGGGTAAAGGGGATCTGGCAACTGGTCAGAAAGAGATTACACAGGATGCCTGTGCTAGCATTGGACACAAGATCAGACACTGTTTGGTGACTCCATTGCTCATACCATATTCTGGGTAGTTCAAGGGTAGAGAGGAGTACTTTTGGTCAAGAGAGAGTGGGAGCTCTGACAAACAGTATCGCTTTTGGTCACAAGGGATCAGGGACCCTGAAAAACAGTATCTCTTCTAGTCCCAAAGGAGTAGGAACTGGTTTTAAATAAATAATAATAAATAATTCTAGGAACTGGTTTTATGAAAAAAAAAACAATAAAATAGATAAACCATTAGTTAATTTGACTTTAAAAAAGAAGGAAGAAAACCAAATTATCAAAATCAAAAATTTAAAGGGTGAATTCACCACCAATAAAGATAAAATTAAAGTAATCATTAGTAGTTATTTTGCCCAACTATATGCCAGTAATTAACAGGGATTGGCATTTAGGGTACCTCACATTGATTCAGCTGAGTGAATCTCCCTTGCCTGGGTTGACCATTGTGGTCAACAATCAAGCATCAGAGATCACATGGAGCTTCTTACGGTTCTTCTGTACTCAGGTGACCAGGAAGTGATGACAAAAGCCTGAGTCTTCAGTCTACTGAGCCAACTAAGTCTAGAGGATGGTCTTGATATCTTTTAAGAAAAAATATTAGCCCAACTTTCATGAGGGTAGGGGTCAAGATACAGTTTCTACCACTGTGGGAGTTAAAGAAACTTTGGTAGAAAAAAAAGTAATTGTGTTTTTCTAGAATTCATATAGAGTTAAGAGAATACTAGGTACAGTTAAACCTATATGTTAGACATAACAGCTCCCACCTTTTTCTTAGGCTCCAGTACAATATCCAACTGTCTGTTGAATATCCCCAGATAGATTTCCACTAGTATCTTAAACTCATTACATCCGGAATGTCATCTTCCTCCCTAAAAATCTCCCTGTCCTAACTTTCCTAGATCACGCTACTACCATCCTAACTGGCAACCAGGCTCAAAACTTCAATCATCTTTGATTCTTCCTCATTCTCTCAAGCTGATTTCTCTACCTTTTTGCATACTAGGAACAAGGTTTGACTGTGGTAGTTTCTATACTATACCTATCTTGTCTGCACATAGTTATTTGCATGTTATCTCCCCCATTAGAATATGTGCTCCTTGAGGGAAGACATCATGTTTTTGCCTCGGGTATTTTTGTTGTTCAGTTATGTCCAACTCTTGGTGACATGATTTGGAGTTTTCTTGGCAAAGATACTGGAATAGTTTGCCATTTCCTTCTCCAGCTCATTTTACAGATGAGGAAACTGAGGCAAACAGGATTAAATGACTTGCACAGGGTCACACAGCTAGTAAGTAGCTGAGGCCAAATTTGAACTCAGGTCTTCTTGACTTCAAACATGGCACTCAATCCACTGTGCCACCTAGCTGTCTATTTCTTGGTATACCAAGCTGTCCTGGCACATAGGAAGATCCTGATAAATGCTTGATAACTGACTTACCAATGATAAAAATAAATAGTGACAAGATTGGTCCATTTTACATTTGTCCACTGTCTATAAGCAAGTTTTTTTCTAGGAATATTTTTGCTGTGACATGGTTTGTTTGAGTTTTATGTAAAGCTTTATTTTTATTTGTTTTCACTTTCAATAAAGAATTTAATTTGCTTAATGGTTGGTGATATCAGAGATCTCTACACAATGTTTTGCACAATAGAGCTAGATGCCTAATCTAAGCATTGTAGTGTCTATTGGCCACACAAGTAAACACCAAGCACATAGCTCTTATAACTCACGGGGCAAAAAATAAAAGGGAAGTACCATGGTGATATAATTGATAGGGCATAATCAAATGTCACATGCAGATTTACAAGGCAACATTAAGTTCATTAATAAAATAGTTCCTAATCAAGTAAATGACAAATATTAGAGCTCTGTGCAATAATGAATATGGTGAACCTTGGTTCTTAAATGTCGCAAGTATTGCTGCTTCAATGCTCACAAGATCATAGGATTACATATCTTAAGCTGAAAAAAGGCCTTAAAGGCCATGTAGGTTTTTTTGCAGATGGAGTTTGTTTTTTGTTTTTACAGATTTTTGAATTAAATTTTATTTTATTTTCAAATATGAATTCTCTTCATCCCTCCTCCACCTGCCCCAGTTGAGAAAGCAAAAGAACCAAACCCTTGCCACAAACATGTATAGTCAAACAAAAAAAAATCCTACATTGGCCATATCCAGTGGGAAAAATATGTTTCAATCTATGCTCTAAGTGCATTACTTCTCTATAGGGATGTGGGTAGTATGTTTCATCTTGAGTCCTCTAGAATTGTGGCTGATCATTGTGTTGATCAGAGTTTCTAAGTCAAGAAAGAGTATTTTTAACTGGAATCTAAAACCCAGTCTTGAAAAACCAAATTACTGGGTTCAATTCTCCCATTTAATCAATAAATCAACAATGTTTTGCTGAATATCTGCTATGTGCAAGACACTGCTCTTCGTGTTGAGGGAGATTTAAAAAATATAGTTTCTACCTTCAGGGGCTTTACAATCAAGTTGGTGAGACAAAATAGATAAGCATGAGACTATAGATGACAATACAACAGCATTAACTATATCCTTTGTAACTAAGAGGGCATAAGAGCACCACTGTCCCTCTTCTCATGTTTGCCTCCAAGGATGCTCTAGTTGGCATCTTCTGAGAAAAGTGGATTAATTTTTTAAATGGGGGAAGAAGAGGGAAGAAAAAAAATTTACATGATAACTTTATCGTATATTTAAAAGAAATAGCAAGTTATACACAATAGATTTGCAGTTTCATATGCAATTGTCTTTTTATTATACTGTTATAGAAATACTTGTTTTATTCCATAAATTAAGAATTAAACTAAATTTAAAAATTATTTTATTTTATTAAAATTTATTTAAAAAATTTTTTTTAAATTTATTTTAAGTTTACATAGCAGGCTATCTTTTATCTTTAGTAGTTTCCAGTTGTGCTCTTAGAAGGAATGGAACAGCACATTTGTCTGCAAGTGATCTTGCAGCTCCATCCAATCCCATGCCTTCTTTCTGCTGGGTCATGATTTCTCTGAGGTTCAAGTAGTTTAAGGGAACATGGCTGGAAATGAATTAAAGAATAACTGAATATCAGGATAAAATGCTACCTGGAACCTTCTCCCTCTGCACACATGGACCCCATACCTGGAAAAGAATCTTTGGTAAAATATACACCTGCTTGAAGACCTCTGGAAAAGGCAGACCTACTACTTCCAGAGGCCTCTCATTCCCCTTGTGAATACCTTTAATTGTTAGGAAGCTTTTTTTTTTCCTTATGTCAATCCTAAATTTGTCTCTTTGTAATTTTCTCTATGTAGCCATAGCTTCCCCATCTTCTACTTGATTTTTTTAACCTAAATATAAGACTCTACATTTAACCTAAATATAAGACTCTACTAAACTTCGCCTTATTAGATTTTATCCATCATTCTAGCCTTCTGAGATATTTTTGTATCCTTCCAATGTATTATGGATCCACCCCATGCTTGTGTCATTTGAAAACATGAGAAACATGCCACCAATGCCTTTCTTGGAGTTACTGATAAAAATGTTAAACACCACAGGGCCAAGGATATATCAGATACCTGGAAACCTCCACTAGTGAGTTTCCTTGACATTGATATTAAATAGATTAATAATTACTCTTAGGTCTTAGCTGTTCATGCAGTTCTGAATCCACCTTACTGTACAATCATCCAGTCCATATTTCTACACCTTGTCCACAAAGATAGTGTGAGAGATTTCATTGCAATCTAAGCAAGCTGTATCTCTAAAGCATCCTCCTGTTCTGCCAGTCTAGTTCCCTGTCAACAAAGGAATGAGGTTAATCTAGTAAGACCTATTCTTGAGAAAGCCGTGCTGGTTCTTTTGATCAACACTTCATCTATTTGTTCACTGAACATCCCTTTAATATGTTGTTCTAGAATGTTGCCAGGAATCATAGTTAAGCTCACTAGTTCATATAGCTTACATATTCTATTCTCTTCCTATTTTTGAGAATCAGAACATTTATGACTTAAGGAGTGGCTGAACAAATTGTGATATATGATTGTAATGGAACACTATTGTGCTATAAGCAAGGACAAGGGGTAAAAATTCAGAAAAAAGTTGGGAAGATACATTAATTGATGTAAAGTAAAGTGAGCAGAACCAGGAGAACATTGTACACAGTAACAGCAATATTGTATGATGATCAGCTGTGAAAGACTTAGCTACTCTGATAAAATAATCCATGACAATTCTTAAGGGTTCATGATGAAAAATTCTGTACACCTCCAGAGAAAGAATTGATGACCTCTGAGTGCAGACTAAGACATATTTTTTTTTACTTTATTTTTCCTGGGTTTTTTTTGGGGGGGGGTTGCAACATGGCTAATATGGAAATATATTTTGTATGACTTCACGTGTCTCATGGGTATCATATTGTTTGTCTTCTTTATGGATGGGGGAGGGATACAGGGAAGGAGAGAATTTAGAACTCAAAATTTTAAAATGAATGTTAAAAAAAAAAAAAACAACCACCACCACAACAGAAATCAGAACATTTGATTTTCTCAGGTCCTGCAGCACCTCTCTTATTTTGTATGATCTTTCAAAGTGACTTAACAATCACATCTGCCATTTCTTTAAGGACCCTGAGAGGCAGTCCAGACCTAGAAACTCTCTGGGAGAAACTAAATACTCTCTTCCAATCCAATAAACATTTCTTAAGCACCTACTATGTGCCAAGCACCCTGCTAAGGATTGGGAATCCAATTAATAAAAAGAAAGACAGTCCCTGCCCTCAAGTAGCTTACAATCTAATAGGGGAGACAACTTACAAAGAGGAGGAAGAAAGGTAGAGGAGGGAGGAGGAAGACGAAGAAGTACCTTGCACAGGGGCATCTTGTTGCATGGAGTTGAAAAAAATAGGCAGGGCAGCAGCAAGAAAATGGAGCGAGCCCAAAAGAGAGTTTCTGCCCTCCATAAAGGAAAGCATTGGAAGGAGCCTGGTACTCTACTCTTGTTTTACCCTTTAGTTGCATCTTTTCTTCATTATATGTTTTTATCCATATCCATCCTAAGCAGGTAGGCAGGCAAAAAGTATTTCTTAAGCCCTTCCAGGCATCATGTTAAGTGCTGAGATACAAATACAGTAGTTTTATGCCTTTTTTGATCCTCTTCCTTCCCCTATTATAGTGTTTCAAAAGTCATACTGTAGTTCTTTTCTTTTTTATTATTTTATTTTCTCACACTTACATGTAAAAACAATTTTTAACATTAAATTTTGAGCTTCAAATTCTCTCCCTTTCTCTCTCCCCCCACCATTGACAAGGCAAGCAATTCGATATAGGTTATACATGTGTAGTCATGCAAAATATATCCATCTTACAATGTTGCTGTTAGTTTGTACACAGTATATTTCACTGTGCATCAGCCCATGCAAGTCCAGGTTTTTCTGAGAGCACCCTGCTCATTTCTTATAGTACAATAGTATTCCATCATAATCACATACCACAACTTGTTCAGCCATTCCCCAACTGATGGGCATCCCCTCAATTTCTAATTCTTTGCCCCCAGAAAAGAGCTACTATAAATATTTTTGTACATATACGTCCTTTTCCTTTTTCCTTTTTCCTTTTCATCTCTTTTGGGAGACAGACCTAGTAGTAGTATTGCTGGGTCAAAGGGTATGCATGGTTTTATACCCCTTTAGACATAGTTTCAAATTGCTCTACAGAATCAGTTCATAACTCCACCAACAGTGCATTAATGTCTTATTTTTCTCACATCCCCTCCAACATTTGTCATCTACCTTTTCTGTCCTATTAGTCAATCTAATAGGTATGAGGTGGAACCTCAGAATTTTTTAAATTTGCATTTCTCCAATCAATAGCAAATTATTTTTTCATATGGCTATAGATAGTTTTAATTACTTCATCTGAAAACTTATCATATCTTTTGATCATTTATCAATTAGAGAATGGCTCTTATTTTTATAATTTGACTCAGTTCTCTATATGTTTGAGAAATGAGGCCTTTATCAGAGGATTTTGCTTCAAAATTTTTTTCCTAGTTACTATCACTAACTATATTTCCCTCCATCCTATTCCTCCCCCATTTATTCTATTCTCTCTCCCTTTTTACCCTGTCCCTCCTCAAAAGTGTTTTGCTTCTGACTACCTCCTCCACCAACCAGGCTCCCCTTCTATTATACACACCCCTTCTCTTATCCCCTTCCCCTCCTACTTTCCTGTAGGGTAATATAGATTTCTATAATTAATTGAGTGTGTATCTTATTCTCTCTTTGAGCCAATTCTCATGAGAGTAAAGTTCGTTTGTTCCTCCTCAGCTCCCTCCTCTTCCCCCCCACTGTAAAATCTTTTTCTTGCCTTGTTTATGTAAGATAATTTACCTCTCCCTTTCTCTTTCTCCCAGTACATTCCTCTCTCATCCATTAATTTTATTTCTTAGACACCATCCCTTCATATTCAACTCACACCTGTGCCCTCTGTCTATATATACTCTTTCTAACTGCTCTAATAATGAGAAAGGTCTTATGAGTTACAGATATCATCTTCCCATGTAGGAATGTAAACAGTTTAACCTTATTAAGTCCCTTATGATTTCCTTACCTGTTTACCTTTTTATGATTCTCTTGAGTCTTGTATTTGAAAGTCAAATTTTCTATTCAGTTCTAGTCTTTTCTTTTTTTAAAATTTATTTATTTTTAGTTTTCAACATTCACTTTCACAAGATTTTGAGTTCCAAATTTTCTCCCTATCTCATCCCTCCCCCTACCCTAAGATGACATGCATTCTGTATACCTCTTCCCCTACTCTGCCCTCCCTTCTATCTCTCCCCCCCTTCTCTTATCCCCTTCTCCTTCTATTTTCCTGTAGAGCAGGAAAGATTTCCATGCCCCATTTCCTATATTTCTTATTTCCCAGTTTCATGTGAAAACAATTTTTTAATGTGTTTTTAAAACTTTAGGTTCCAAATTTTCTCCCTTCCTCCCTCCCCACCCACCATCATTGAAAAGGAGGGCAACTTGATACAGGTTATACATGTGTAGTCATGCAAAACACTTCCATATTAGTCATGTTGTAAAAAACTAAGCATATTTCCCTTCATCCTATCCTGCCCACCCCATTTATTCTATTCTCTCTTTTGATCCTGTCGCTCCTCAGAAGTGTTTGCTTCTGATTATCTCCTCCCCCAATCTGCCCTCCCCTCTATCATCCCCCTGCTCTCTTGTCCCCTTCCCCCCCCCCATTTTCCTGTAGGGTAGGATAGATTTCCATACACAATTGAATGTGTATGTTATTCCCCCTCCTTAAGCCAAATCCAATGAGAATAAAATTCACTCATTTCCTCTCACCTTCCCCCATTTCCCTTCCACTGTAAAAACCTTTTCTCAACTGTTTTATGTGAGATAATTTACCCCATTCTACCTCTCCCTTTCTCCTCCCAGTATAATCCTCTCTCACCCCTTAATATTATTCTCCAGATATCACCCCTTCATCTTCAACTCACCCTGTGCCCTCTATCTATCTATGTATCTATATACATACATATACTTTTTTTTCCCCTCCAACTACCCTAATACTGACAAGGGTCTCATGAGTTACGAATATCATCTTTCCATTCAGGAATGTAAACAGTTCAACCTTAATAAGTCTCTTATGATTTCTCTTTCCTGTTTACATCTTCATGTTTCACTTGAGTCTTGTATTTGAAAGTCAAATTTTCTATTCAGCTCTAGTCTTTTCATCAAGAATGCTTGAAAGCCCTCTATCTCATTGAATGTCCATTTTTTCCTCTGCAGGATTATACTCAGTTTTGCTGGGTAGGTGATTCTAGGTTGTAATCCTAGCTCCCTTGTCCTCTGGAATATCATATTCCAAGCTCTCTGAGTCTTTAATGTAGAAGCTGCTAAATCTTGTGTTATCCTGACTGTGGCTCCACAGTACTTAAATTCTTTCTGGCTTGCAACATTTTCTCCTTGACTTGGGAACTCTGGAATTTGACTATAATATTCCTGGCAGTTTTCATTTTAGGATCTCTCTCAGGAGGTGAGCAGTGGATTTTTTCAATTTCTATCTTATCTTTTGAATATCTAGAATATCCTAGAATTCTAGATACTCTAGGTTTCTAGAATATCAAAGCTGCTTTCCTTGATAATTTTTTGAAAGATGATGTCTAGGCTCTTTTTTTGATCATGATTTTCAGATAGTCCAATAATTTTAAAATTATCTCTCCTGAATCTATTTTACAGGTAAGTTGTTTTTCCAACGAGATATGTCACATTGTCTTCTACTTTTTCATTCTTTTGGTTTTGTTTTATTGTTTCTTGATTTCTCATAAAGTCATTAGTTTCCATTTGCTCCATTCTAATTTTTAAGGAATTATTTTCTTCAGTGAGCCTTTGGACCTCCTTTTTCACTTGCCCAATTCTGGTTTTTAAGGCATTCTTCTCCTCATTGACTTTTTGGACCTCTTTTACCATTTGGCCTAGTCTGTTTTTTTAAGGTGTTATTTTCTTAAGTATTTTTTTGGGTCTCCTTTAGCAATCTGTTGATTCAGTTTTCATTATTTTCTTGCATCACTCTCATTTCTCTTCCCAATTTTTCCTCTACCTATCTTACTTGATTTTTGAAATCTTTTTGCATGACCTGAGACCAATTCCTATTTTTCTTGAAGGCTTTGAATATCTTCTGAGTGTGTGTTTTGGTCTTCCTTGTGACCATAGTAACTTTCTATAGTCAGAGGTTTTTTTTTTTCTGTTGTTTGTTTATTTTCCCAGTCTAGTACTTGACTTATAACTCTTTGTTAAAGTAGGGCTCTGCTTCCAGGGTGGAGGGCACACTGTCCCTAGCTTCAGGGGTTTGTACAACTGTTTTCAGAGATACTTCTAGGGATCTCTGAGTTTTCAGTTCTTCCAAAGTAGTATGTTCTAAGGAGAGGTATTTACTTCTTTCCTGTCCTGTGCTCTGGTCTATGAGTGACTCCAAGCACTCTTCTCTGCCCTGGAATTATGAGGAGGGTCACCCCTCCACTGTGGCCATGAGCTCTGTTCTCCTCTCCCTGAGACTGCCACCCAGGACTGCAACCTGGACCCCAGTATGAGCAAAGCAACAGAGTGTTGCCTCAGTGCTAGCAAAAAAATGTCTCCATAATCTCTTTCTGACCAGTCATTTGACCCCCTTAACATCTGTGGGCTGAGAGTTCCTGAAGCAGCCACTGCTGCTGCTGATTCAGTCACCCCAAGGCCTGCTCAGGGTTTTCTGGGGCTGGGGCTGGGTTGGCCTGGCCTGTGCTGGACTGTGCTCCTCTCCCGCCCAGGTGTGACTGACCTTTCCTGCCAACCTTCTAAGTTGTCTTTGGCTAGAAATTTGCTTCACTCTATCTTTTTATGAGTTCTGCTGCTCTAGAATTTGTTTAGAGTCATTTTTAAAGGTATTTGGAGGGTTTGGGGGGAGAGCTCAGATGAGTCCCTGCCTTTTCTCTGCCATCTTTACTCTGCTGTCTTGACTCCACCTCAAAGCCACTACCTTTTGAGGCAAGCTAGTCTTTTCACGCTACTTTAATTGATAGGAAATTTTTCCTCACAGGGAGGTGAAATTTGCCTCTCTTCAACTTCTGCAAATTCTATCTCAATTACTTCCAGTAGGTCCTCTGTACACACATATCTTCCTGAAGAATGTCTCAAACCCAACAAAGGAAGTTCCTTATGCAGGCATATAGCATCACATTCATCATTCTCTCAGCCAATCAGGCTCAATCACATCTCTTTCTGCATTTTGCAGCCTATAGTACGGGGCTGTCCCTCTGCAAAACTGCCCCAGACTTGGACAGAAGTTCTATGTTTTTAAAATGTCTACCTCAAATATATACTTTTCAATAAGACTATAAATTAAAGACAGGAAGGAACACAGTGCATTGAAAAGAGAATTGTACTTGGAACTTGACTTCAAATTCTAACTCTGTTCTCTATTACCTGTGTGACCTAGGGTAAGTGACTTAACTTCTCTAGTCCTCAGTTTCCTGGTCTGTAAAATGAGGGAGTTGAACTAAATGACCTCTGAATTTCCTTCTAGCTCTATATCCATGATCCTAAAATCTTATGTGTTGTAAATCTTCGTCAGTAGAGGTAGTTTCCTTGCCATGAATTCCATACAAGTAATGAAAACACAAGTCTTGGGGGAAGAAACCAAATTTACTTCTTAAGAAATCAAATAATTTATGCTTTAAAAAGTATTAGGGTCTATGCCCAAAGGGCTGTAAAAATGTGCATACCCTTTGATCCAGCAATACCACTTCTAGGTCTGTGTCCCAAAGAGATCATAAAAAAGGGAAAAGGACCCACATGTACAAACATATTTATAGCAGCTCTTCTTGTGGTGGCAAAGAATTGGAAATTGAGGGGATGCCCATCAGTTGGGGGATGGCTGAACAAGTTGTGGTATATCAATGTAATAGAATACTATTGTTCCACAAAAAATGATGAGCAGGTGGATTTCAGAAAAACCTGGAAAGACTTACATGAACTAATGCTGAATGAAGTGACCAGAACCAGGAGAACGTTGTACACAGTAATAGCAACATTGTACGATGACCACCTTTGATAGACTTAGCTCTTCTCAGCAATGCAATGATCTAAGACAATTCCAAAAATCCTGTTGAAAATGTTGAAAACGCTATCCATATCCAGAGAAAGAATTATGGAGCCTGAATGCATATCGAAGCCTACTATTTTCTCTTTCTTGTTTGTTTGTTTTTTCTTTCTATGGTTTTTCCCTTTTGTTCAGATTGTTCTTTCACAACATGATTAATGTGGGAATATGCTTGGATAGCCTATATCAGATTGCATGCCATCTTGCGGAGGGGATGGGAGAGAGGGGAAAAATTTAGAACTCAAAATTTTATAAAAGTGAATGTTGAAAACTAAAAATAAATAAACCAATTAATCTTTTAAAAAAAGTATCAGGGGCTTTTCAAAGGAAACCTGCTTCATAAAACATTAATTGGCCCCAAATTCAGGCATGACCTTTCTGGTGCAGTATATTGCTGTTACTGTCATAAGGCATCTGTCTTATCTGTAATCATCCTGAATAAACAGTATCTATAATTCCCTAACTTTAGGGAACTTCACCTTCCTGGGTGTCAGACTAGGGGTGAATACTTAACTATGGATCTCACAAGATCCTGGGATAGGACCAGAGGACTACAATAAGGGCTCTGTGTCTCCCTTGTGAACACTCCATTGTTTGGCCGTTCCTGTTCCATCATTCATATTATACGTACCATACAATGGGCTGGATTCTCCTGCTCTACTTCTGCTCCTCTGTGCTCTGCGCTCCCATTGAAGTCACATTTATGTCTAAATCAATGGGGAGAAATGCAAAGGGAAGATCAAGCTCAGGATGAATGTAGTTAAAGATGATGTCACCACAATATTTCTTAAAAGGGTAGAATCATAGACAATTTCACACAATCAAACATTTTCATGGACTTTAATAAGAATTTCATTAGTGTTCAGCTTCTGGTCCTTAGAATTTCTCCACTTCTCCCAAAACACTGAGCACTCCTAAAAATAAGATTCTATTCATGAGATATCTGGGATGATTTGAGAACCAAATTTATGAAAGGTAAGAAATAAACTATATTGAAGTTACTTTCCATTATCTTGATTCAATTACTTAGTGTAATGACATGACTGGACAATAAGAATCAAGTCTTTGGAGCATTTAAGATCTGCTTTGCCTGGTATTATCCACATGTAGGTTGGGTGAATCTTCTGGAAATGCATGGTCACAATAATAGAAGGGCCTTGCCCCAGGTTCAGAGCATGGGTAGATGTCCTGTGACTCTTTCCTGTCGGCTTACTAAGTGATAATGAAGTTTTTTAATTGGCTAATATGTCAGAACTAAGTATGTACACAAAAGACTCAGTCAAAATTGATTCTCTCCCTGTTGGCTTTTGAGTAAGAAAGAACTGCTACAGCTCTGTCGGCCAATCACTATATTGTCTTCCAGTCTTTAAAAACTCACCTGGTCTGCTCTGTCTCTAACACTTATTTACCCCAAATCAAGAAATAATGCACACAACAGGAACAGAAGAAACTCCAGCATCATGTATTCAGAGCCACATAGTGGCCATACATGAAGTTAGGGGCAGAAATAAGGCACTGGGCAACACAGCTCTTTCTACTTTTCTTCCTACTTAGGGACCTCAGTTGCTTTAAAGCTGCCAGGGAAAGAGGGAGGGGAGGGAAGGAGAGAGAGATGGGGAGACAGAGAGAGAAGTAAGGAGGAAAGGAGAGCGAAAGAGGAGAGGAGAGAGATGGAAGAGGGGGGAGAAAGAGGATAGAGGAGAAAGAGAAGAAGAGAGACAGGGAGGAAGAGAGAAAGAGGAGAGAGAAAGAGGGGAGAGAGAGAGAGAGAGAGAGAGAGAGAGAGAGAGTCATCAGATAGATACTTGTAAGTGCTCTGAAGTGAAAAGTTGGTTCCACCCTTATATAAGCCAGGAAGTAGATTTATCAAACCTTCATGTGTCTATACAAAAGGCATCGAACATGGCACGTGCTCCAGAAGACTGTGAGCTCATTAGCCAGCCTTCCCACCCCCACTCTCATTATATTAAAGTTCAAATGCTTTACTTTCTTAGTATTCCTGGTAGCAGCAATGTGGGACTTGGGAAAGGGACCTCAAGTCAGGCGAGATCTGGGTTGGAATCCTGCCCCCAGGACTTATGAGCTATGAAATCTTGGGCAAGTCATTTAAGTTCTCTTTACCTTGCTTTCAACACTTGTAAAATGTGGGAGGTTAGACTTGCAGGTCTTCCTGACTTCAGGTCAAAACTCTACCACATCATGCTGCCACTTTTAAATTTAAATGGATGTGAAACACTTTCTGAATCCCAGAAACCTTAGTTCTTCTTACCACAGGATCAAAGTCAAAGCACCAACTGTTCCATTTTCTAATTCCAGGTGAAATATGCATGAAAAAAATGAAAAGCATTCTCAATGTTGACTTTGTAAACCCAAGCTCTCAACTGATGGCCAACATCATACAGGAATTGGAGTAGAATGTTGAATCCCTGATAAGGCCGCATTTAGAATATGTGTTTAGTTCTGGCCAACACATGTTAGAAAGGAGATTGATAAACTGTAGAGTAAGTAAAGGAGGGTAACCAGGTTGGTAAAGGGATTCAACTGCATGACATATAAGGATGGAGAAAGGGGACATGATAGTACCTAAATAATTAAAAGGCTTCCACATGGAAGACCTGTTCTTTCTGGCCCCAGAGAGCAGACCTAAGAGCTACGGGTGAAGGATGCCAAGAGGAAATTTTAAACTTGGTGCCAGGAAAAACATAATAATTAGAACTTTTCCAAAAGTCTTCATAATTTCAGTATGCACAAATAGTGAAAATGACAGTGATACTATGGTATCTATGTATTTTTGGTAAAATGGAAGGTAATTTGTATAGAAATCCTATTAAATATATTATACTTTATCTAAACATTTGATCTATCTGATACCACTCCTCATCAGAAGGAAAGGAATTACCATGGATATACTCAGATAGAGATTTGTGCGTGTGGCTGTGGGGGGTAGGGGCAGTGTATCTTTAACTTAAGATATGCTTTGCCTGGTATTATCCACATGTAGGTCGGGTGAATCTTCTGGAAATGCATGATCACAAGAATAGAAGGGTCTTGCTCCAGGTTCAGAGCATGGGTAGACGTCCTGGACTCTTTCTGGTCAGCTGACTGAGTGATAATGAAGTTTTTTAATTGGCTAATATGTCAGAACTAAGTATGTACACAAAAGACTCAGTCAAAATTGATTCTCTCCCTGGTTCCTTTTGAGTAAGAAAGAACTGCTATAGCTCTGTCAGCCAATCACTATGTTGTCTTCCATTTTGTAAAAACTCACCTGGTCTGCTCTGTCTCTAACACTTATTCACCCCAAATCAAGAAATAATGCACACAACAGGACTCCAGCATCACGTATTCAGAGCCTTAAGTGACTTAAGAAATGTTAAGAAGAGAGTGAAAATGGAACAGCTGATGAAGATGAAGACACTACAGGCTGTCTCACAAGGTAGTGGATCTCACCCCCTCGAGGTATTCAAGCCAAGGGTGAATGACTACTTGTGAGTCTGGCTAAGGGGTTCCTTTTTCAGCTATAGATTGGGCCTGATGGCCACTGAAGATGCTTCCGACTCTGAAATTCTAAGGTTCCTTTGTTTCTTCCCTTTCCTCAAGCGTGCTTCATCCTTCTTTCTTCTTCCTTCTCTTCGGGTGTCAAAGGGAGATGTCCATAAATATATCTTCTAGTCTCCCCAAGGCAGTCTCACAGCCTCTAGCACAAAAGATGCGGGAATTCCTTGATAGCTATTGCCTTTGGATTGGCAAATCATATCATTATGGGTCTATATTGTTGTAAACCTATGAAGTGTTCATAGTAATCTGTAATCTGCTGTGTCCATGTGAGCTCTTACCCATTCTTCCAAAAAAAAAAAACCCCACAGAACACAATATGTAACCACTATGTGAATCTCAGCAAAAGAACTAAAACAAATTACAATCTCTGAACAAATAGAAGAATAGCAATGACTTACACATAAACATAACTTTTGTTATCGGTCAGTCATTTCAGTTGTGTCTGACTCTGTGACCCCACTTGGCATTTTCTTGACAAAGATACTGGAGGGGTTTGCCATTTTCTTGTCCAGCTCATTTGACTGATGAGGAAACTGAGGCAAACAAGGTTAAGTGACTTCCCCAGGGTCACATAGCTAGGAATTGTCTGAAGCCAGATTTGATCTCAAATCTTGCTCACTCCAGGCCCAGCTCTCTATCAACCACGCCACCTAACTGTCCATATATACATATATAATTATACAATAAGGACGATGGTGGAAGAGTATTTAACATCAAATCTAAACTGGATGCATGGTTTCAAATAAAGACTTATTTTAATTTTTATAGGATATTGGAACTTTGTAATTTCAGTAGCTTTCTTGGCAATGTACAGGCACACAGCTAAGTGAAAGATATGACTAAATTTGGGCCACCCAGGCCTTCCTAAAATGTTGCAATACCTGACCCAAACTGAAATCTTGAGGCAGGCTGGCAAAAAAGAGTTAGCTCCTTCTTGCTCTTTGTCCTGCAGAGCCTAGAATTAGGTAACAAGTTAAATGTTGTTTATCTTTGTTCATGAATGAAAATAGGATTGGCCAGGGGTTTTCATCCCTGGTTGCTGTAACATCGTTTGTTCAGTGGGAAAGCTCAGGCAGTCTAGCCCACAATGACCTAATAACCTGAATGAAAGATGTGTCTGCTGGGAAAATCCTCTGGCAGCTTCTATTTTCCCATTGACATCTCCACCTTTGGAAATAATAACAACCTGCCCTCCAGCCCCATGCACACACAAATATACACTGTCAGATACTTGATCATTTTTGCTATCATCTCTAACTTTAGAAAGGAAAAAAGGAATTTTTACTGAGGTATAGAAATATATAATCATTTCCTATAAAAGCTTAAGAAAGGGTCTTTTCACATTTGGCAACAATAACACAAGATATCAACTAAGATGACCATCAGTTACCAGGCTTGAGGACAGGCTACATTAAAAACTTACTGTGCCTGGTTTCTACCTCAGTGGTAGATTTTCTCATTAAACACAGTGAAAACATCAGTGATCCAAGTAATTACATATGAAATAACCATCCAGAGAGTTGGGGAAAGTGCAATCATATGGAAAAAAATCCAGGATGAGCATTGTAACAAGGTGTATTTATCATAGATTAAATAATCATTAAAATTAAGACATATGCACACAAGGCTGAGGCACATTATAGAATTTTATCAGACCATAAACAAAACATTTTACCAGTTTAATGTTGTACATATAAATATACACATGTATGTGTACATTTATGAAATATATGTATACATCATAAAGAGACATACTAATAAGACACATGAAAGTTTTTTTCTTCCATAAAGTAGAGCCTTATCACAACAAAATGAAATTTTATAAGTGTTTCCCATGCATTAACCATATGCCTATATTCTTAGGTAAACATTTAGTAATAGTAAAAAGTGGCCAATTTGTCCATGATAGATCTCATTCAACCAACTATGTCCGTAAAAACAATAACAGAAATTATACTTTGCTTGTTCCCTATTCCATGACAAGGATGATATAATGCAGGTTAAAAAGTTCCAGCATTGGAATTCAATTTGAATCCAACCTCTGAAACTTACTAGGTTTGTGACCATAGAAAAATCACTTCAACTTTCTGAGCCTCATTTTCTTCGTCTATAAAATGGGGATAACAATACTCACACTACTTACCTCACAGAGTTATGGTGAGTAAAGTGTTTTGTAGAAGTTGATGTACAGTTATCCCTTCCTCATTGTAACTTCCCCCATTGGGATTTTCCATTTCTTTCTAATTGCCTACTCTTTCAAGATCTTTTTGGATCCTGACCCTCATCCAGAATTTTAGATATCCCTTCAAGCATTGTGTCATTGGCACATTTGGTGAACATGCTATCTATGCCAGTCATCTAAGTCTTTTCAAAAACTTCTGAATAGCACAGGGTTAAGGGCAGATAGATTCCTGAGGCGCTTCATGACAAGGATCCCTTAGATTAATATCTATTCATTAACAATTACTCTCTGGGCCCAGTCATTTAACCACTTATTTATCTAATTGTATTAACATATTAGCCCACTTGTTACCCATAGGAATATCACAAGACAGTTTGGAAAGTATCATTTTGAAAAACAGGTATACTGTGTCTATGGCTTTCCTCTGATATAAAAGTTATCAATATACACCAGAGGTTCAAATCTGGCCCAATCTGGCAGGTCTCTTGTTTTTGTATGGCCCATGAGCTAAAAATGCAATAAAACTTAATTTGAAAATGTCAAAACCATTCTTAGCTGCCATTGGCAATTGCAGGAGCTATAGTTTGCAGATCCCTGCAACATCTTGTCAAAAAAAAGGAAATGAAATTATTCTAGCACGACCTGACCTTGATGAACCCATTCTGCTCTGTGATCACCACTGCCTTTTCTAAATGCTCACAAGGCCTCCCTTTGATATTTTGTTTTCATCCAGGCCTGTGATTTATTTCATCAGTGTAGGGAATAGCCACTGAGAAAACTCTTTATAACAATGCAAAGTGGCGTCTGTTCTGCACAACTCATTGTCTTAAGAGTGTTATCTGGGTTCACTAATAGGTTAAGTGATTTTCACCCAACATGTGGCAAAGAACAAACTTAAACCTAGGTCTTTCTGACTGAAGACAGCTCTCTATTCATTACACCACCCTGACCTTCCCCTTAATAATACATTCTAGAATTCTTCCAAGAATCAAAGTCAATGTTTAGTGACCAATATATGTTTTCAAGATAAAACCAAAAACTGAAATATTACCTATTAATAATTTCCCATATTTTCAATGAATATGCTTTTGCCCCCTTTTTCTTTTGTAACAAAAAAAAATTCCCTTAAAAAAAATCTCACCATGTAATAAGTATATTTGAAGGGATACTTTGTTGGCCAAGTTGGACATGTACATATATTGGGAGAGATATAGGAGCCAAAGGTATGTGGGTAAATATTTCACAGGAAAAATTTTTATCCTAAAAACAAATATGATAGAACAAAAAATTTAATTGACATTTTCTTCCTCTCCATCTTTCTTAACTATGCAAATAAAATAATTTTAAATAAAACTCTATTCAACTCTGAACTTTGATACAAAACACTGAACCTACTGAACCTTACATAAGAGATGTTTGAAGGGTTTCATCTTTTTTGCTTACTAAATAAAACTCTTTTCAAAAGATTCTTACAAAACTTTTCACGAGTGAATCCCATGAGCTTGCTTCCTCTGTTTTCCTACACTCTTCCTGACCCTAGGTCCAACTAACTTATTCAGTGTACAATAGTAAACATTGAAGTGAATTTTTTTAAAAAAGAACAGTCACTTTAAATTCTTCTTTAGCCTGGGGATATAGAAGGAGGAGGAGGGAACTATTGACCACATTTTGACAGAATGAAAGAAAAATATTTTGTAGCCTCTCAGCTTGGCTTCCCTCCCCCCATCCCAAACTGGTTTTACTATGAATAGAGATGAGATAGCACTCAAAATTCCCCTGTGCAGCCATTTATTGTCCAGTTACCCTTGAACTATGATTGGTGGACTATGATAGGAATCACTGGAGACCACTTATGGTGGTGAGGATTCTGCCTAGAGGTGGGAGTAATAATAATAATAACAACAGTAATAAAGCTCTTTAAGTTTCCCAAAGTTCTTTAGAATTATTACATTATTTATCCTCAAAACAAAACTAGGAGGTAATTACTATAATTACCCCCATTTTACAGGTGAGGAAGCTGAGACAGAAGTTGTAACTTACCCAGAGTCAGATAGGTGCAGAACTCTGTCCACTGGATGGAGGCTAGAAGCTGTCTCTGCCCTTATGAGTGGCGTAGATCTGGATCTTATTGACATAACTCCCAGGTCCTCTCCCCGTTTGGAGAGTTTTTATTTTCCCTATCACTAAAGAAAAGGCAAGATTCTCCAAAAATCTCCACAGCTGATTTCCTAAAAGAGCAGGAAGGTTCTGCCCCTCTCCACTTCCTGGACCACGGGGACAAATGGACACCAACTCCATAGTATCTAGAAAAGCAAGGAGGATATAGCTGATTCCTCAGGAAATGTCTCTGGAAAAGCTCAGAAATGCTCTGATAGCTCCCATTCATTCCAAGGCTCTCTCACTACATCCCCAAGGGAGGCTGAGCATAGACAGTTCTGAATCTGGGAGTCAAAGTCAGAGAGCCCGACTTCTACGTCCCCAGGATGGACCTTTTGTTTAACTCAAAGGCCATCCCTAACCATAAAGGGTAAGGGCTAGTAGTTACATAGTCACAAGTGGATGTGGCCACCTGGACACAGTTCTTTAGCCACCAACTTGCCTGAAGTTGCTAATGAGTTCCTCAACTTTAATTGTAGAAAGCAGATAGTTTAACATACTGCTACAAAGCTGTTAGGAATTAAGAATGATTAAGAATTTATCATATTAAGATAAATGAGGAAGCAGAGAATTTAATCCAAAACCTTATTTGGAAATTAAAAGGAAAACAAGAAAAAATATGATAAATACCATATTTCCTTGATGGATTTGCATTCACTATGAAATATGCTGCAATACCTAGAAAAGTCTGAATAGAATTTAGTAATAACTCACCCTCCTCCCCCCATCCCACGAAAAAAAATCTTTATTTACAAGTGCAATCACAGAAAAACTTAATGTGTTTTTAAAATATTAAATTATATTTTAAATGATTATCATTTGATGTAACACATCAGTAAAAATCTAAAATAATCTTCACCAAGTCCCCAAAGCCTGATAAAGCTTTCATTTGAATAATGGAAGAAGAAAAAAACACACTTACATAAATGCACTTATACCCTCATAGAAAATACCACCCAAAATGCCTTAGCATCTTTTAAAAGCTTAGAAGTGATAGTGAGATTCTTTGAGTGACCTGATTCTAGTTATTGGTGATTTGTAATTCGGGTTAAAAAACAAAAACAGAAGTGGGTATTGTTCGAACACTTGCAATGATAAGATCCAAGAAAACCCCAGAGTTGTCAAGAAAGGACAGTGGGTTATGGTCAGGCCATCACTAGAATTTCAAAGCATGGAGATTTCTGTTTTAAAAGAATATTTTTATATTGCCCAAGACTTCACACTCAGTTCCCAATTTTAGTTTAAAAATTTTCCATTACATTCCCCTCTTCTTAGAACAAATTATAACAAAAGGAAAAATACCATTACCTTAAAAAAAGCTGACATTAGTATACCATTAAGGCCATGTCAACACAGCATTAACATATCTACTAAAAAAGAAAAATATATCAATAAATGATTTTTTATTTACATGAGGCAAATCAGCTCGTCTCTTTTTATAAGGAATTGACTGATGCTTAAAACTTGAATTAACCAATAGGTTTAGCACTTTGTCTTCTTCATTCATTCCAATACTTAATGAATGTCTGTTACCAATTTCTAATTAAATAGATATATAGACAAAAATAGACAGCGGGCAGATTTTTAGAATCCAAAGAAAACTTACAAATTGAATAGTCCAGGTTAGGGATATGAGCACCGTACCTTTGCCATGTGATTTCTACCTTTTAGTAAAGGAGAACTGTCCAGTTCAGTGACAACAATGAGCTCAAAATATGCAGTCTTTAAGGACTATCCTAAGTCACCAATGCTGTCTACAATACACAGGGAGAAAGCTGAGGCAATCATCTGAACAACTCGGGCAAGTAGATGAGCCAAAGCAACCTTGTTATTGAGTGAGAGAGAGAGCTTATCTGGTCTGAAGTACAGAGGTTGGTTCTATACACTATCAAATCCATTGAGTAACTGCTCCATTTTTCCTTTTACTTACTTGCTGTAGTGAGAGGAATATTTCAAGACCCTGCCCCACAAAGGTAAGGCTTTTGTTGTTGTTTAGTCATTTGTCAGTCATGTCTGACTCTTCATGACCCTATTTGGGGTTTTCTTGGCAAAGATACTGGAGTGGTTTGCCATTTCCTTCTCCAGCTCATTTTACAGATGAAGAACTGAGGCAAACAGGGTTAAGTGACTTGCCTAGGGTCACTCCGTTAGCAAGTGTCTGAGGCCAGATTTGAACTCAGGAAGGGGAGTCTTCCTGATTCCAGGACTAGCACTCTGTCTGCTGTGCCGCCTCAATGCCCCAAAAGTTATGCTAGTTTTTCTTTAGAAGTTGTGGAAACCATCCTTGAGGATTAATTGATTTAGGGGACTAAAGGCTTGGCTGGTGACTTACCTTCCTAAATACAACTAGGTGGTACAGTGAATAGAGCATCAGGCCTGGAATCAGGAAGATCTGAGTTCAAATCCAGCCTCAAACATTTATCAGCTGTGTGACTCCGGACAAGTCACTTAACCCCTATTTGCCTCAGTTCCTCATCTGTAAAATGGGGACACACACTGGAGAAAGAAGTGGCAAACCGTTCCAGTATCTTTGCAAAGAAAACCCCATGGATGAAAGTCCACGGGGTCACATAGAGTTGGATGCTACTAACACCATAAAAATTAAAAGCTAGGGTCCAGGAAGTTGTCTTTCTCCTCCCTCAGGCTTCTGAAAAACCTACCAGCATGACCAGCACCAGGAGCTGTGCTCAGCTAAATCAATGCTGTATTCTTTTCTGAATATCCTTCTGCTATCATGGTTAAATAAACCTCCTTTTATTAAATTATTAAGATATTGTATGAGTGTCTCATTTTTTTCTAGTCTCAGATCTGACATACTGGACTGGCCTGAGTCAGGCCTGGTTTACTCACTACACATGCCTGTCAAGAAATTGTGAATTTGGACAAGTCGGTAACTTTTGGTGTCACTTAGATGCCTTCATCAGTATCATAAAAACAGAATTCATGAAAATAGTGCCATCCTCAGCATCCAGAGTAAAGGCTGGATGAAAAGGAACCACTAATGGATAACATGGGTATAGTTGTCCATGACCTCAGCTACTTACAAGATGACAGACTTAGCCATGATGTGGCAAGAAGCCTACTTTAGGCTATGTATAATCATCTAGTATATTTAGGGGCCTCAAAAATGAAATATGACAGTATTTGAAGAAACATATTAGGCAATAAGCCAAATCATAAAAATATAATCATGGGAACAAACAATAAAAGAGAAAAATTTCTGTGCTGAAGTGAAAGAGGAAGAAATTGAATATACTGAAGGATAAAAAAAAAAACATTGCTGTATTGTTGGAAGAAATGGAAAATGGAAGATATTCATAAGAGTATCACATCTAGGAGAAACAATTTGGCTCCCTGCAAGAGATGGCAGATGACAGTTTAGATGTGCTAGGCACCAGGCTGCAGTGGGGGGTACTGAATCTGGAGAGACTTTAGAGGAGAAAAATGGAAAGATTAAAGGTTTTCATTTCAAAGCTTTGTTGCTTTCCCAGCATTTCCCTGAGATAGGGACTGCAGAGAAAGCAAAGAGGATGCAAATCAATCCAGGGTCAGTTAGAAATGCTTTCGGAAGTTGTCTGATCCCTTTCCCAGCTCCACACTGAACTACACATCTTTTTTTCAAGAACAATGGTTAAGGATATTTGACAGGTTAAAGACCTGGGTTTTAGTCCCACCCCACCCCCTACTTAGGCATGATTTTGAACAGGTCACTTAACCTCAGTTTCTGCTGTAAAATAGGAATGATACCTGCACTATCTATCTCGTAATATCATTATGGGAACCAAACGAGATAAGGCCAGCAAAAGTGCTTTGAAAGATGAAAAATTATAATATTATACATAGGAAGTATGACTATAAAGGAACCAGACTACTTTCAAAACCAATATGTCAGAACTTGTACATCTAAAAGAATGTTGCCTTTCAAAGTAGTCACTATGAAAGGCTATATACATATTCTAAATGATGCTATGGGTCAAAACATTTTTAGAATTCCTCTTTGGAAACTGTCTTCTGATCTTGTTTATAAGCCCCTTCGCCCAAACACACAGACACACACACACACATACACACACACACACACACACACAAGCATGTATGCATGCACACACACATGCACAGATATATATATACAAAATCAGTTGTTTCCTAACAGCAAATTCTTCTATCTTGACTAAAAAATATTGTCATTAGGTTTTATTATTTGCAAAAATTAAAATCTCTTCTCAAAGGATAAAAGTTTTAATTAAATATCCTAAGATGCAGACTAAATATAATTCCAAATTAAAGAACAAAGCTGTTTGTTGAATTCACTATTTGACAAAAACTGCTGGGAGAAAAAATGTAAAGTTGTCTGGAAGAAGTTAGGTATAGACCAACATTTCACACCATATACCAAGGTAAGCTCCAAATGGATATATGACTTAGATAGAACAGGTATGAATTAGGAAAGAATTCATTATCAAGCAAAGGATAAAGAAGATCATAGAAGCTAAAATGAAGAATTATAATTATATAAAATTTAAAAGATTTTGCATATGTGAAACTCAAGTTGAAAAGAAGAGAAGCCAGTAAATGGGGAGAATATTTGTAGAAAGTTTCTCTGATAAAGATTTCCAAGATAAAGCTTAAATTTAAAACTAAAACTTTGGGAACATCATTTTATTGTCCTTCACTTTATTGCCCTTCACAGATATTGAGGGTTTTTTGGGGGGGTTGTTTTGTTTTGTTTTGTTTCTTACAAATTGAAGGTTTGTGGCAACCTTGCCTGGAGCAAATCTATCGGTGCCGTTTTTCCAAAAGCATGTGCTCCCATCATATCTCTGTCACATTTTGGTAATTTTCCCAATACTTCAAACTTTTTCATTATTATTATATTTGTTATGTTGATGTGTGACAAGTGATGTTTGATTTTACTATTGGAATTATTTTGGGACACCACGAACTACACCCATATAAGATGACAAACTTAATCGATAAATGTCATATGTGTGTTCTGACTGCTCCATCCCCCTCCTCTGGCCTCCCTATTCCCTGAGACACAACAATATTATATATTATAAAGCAGAGACAGGGTTTGAGAGGACTGACTCCAATTTTGAAAGAAGTTCTACTGTGGGTAAAGTGCTATCAAATAGCATCACATGCTACAGAGAAATCTTTCATGGAAGGAAGAATCAATCCATGCATCAAACTTCATAGTTGCCTTATTTTAAGAAATTGCCACAGCAACCACTACCCTGGTCAGTCAGCAGCCACCAACATCAAGGCAAGACCCTCCACCATCAGAAAGATTAAGACTCATGGAAGGCTCAGATAATGGTTAGTATTTTTTTTTAGCATTAGAGTATTTTTTAATTAAGGTTTGTACACTGTTTTCTTGGTCATAATGCTATTGCACACTTAATAAACTACAGTATAGTGTAAACATAATTTTTATATGCACTGGGAAACCAAAAAATTCTTGTGACTCACTTTATTGCAATATTCACTTAATTGCCGTGGTCTGGAACCAAACCCACAATATCTCCAAGGTATGTCTGCATAGGGAGCTAGGTGGTATAATGGATAGAGTGCTAGGCCTGGAGTCAGGAAGAGTTATCTTTCCAAGTTCAAATCAGCCTCAGACTCTTACTGTGTGACACTAAGAAAGTCACTTAACTCTGCTTGCCTCAGTTCCTCATCTGTAAAATGAGCTAGAGAAGGCAATGGCAAACCACTCCAGTATCTTTGGCAACAAAATTCTAAATGGGGTCATGAAGAGTCAGACATGACTGAAAATGACTGAACGACAAACAGCAATAACTATGGGCCCAGAGGTGTGCTAAACTCTGGAGATACAAGGACAAAAATAAATTCATTCTCTACCTTCAAAGAGCTGACATTCCATCTGTTTTAGTGCACTTGACCCAGCTAGTTAGCTCTTCTCCTGACATGTATATGTATAGGTGTAAATATACATGAGTGTGTGTGTGTGTGTGTGTGTGTGTGTGTGGTGTATATCTTGGTAAGAAATATGGACTATTTCACAAATTTGTATGTAATTCTTGAATGAAGACATGAGGGAGTTTGTGGGAAACATATTCTTTAAACTCTATCAATAATTTATTCTCATATTTAGCCTTTCTCTAATTTAAATATCCCCTACTATAAGTCAGTATGTCCAGCTCATCTCTGGTTAACATTCTACATATACTTCTAATATGCTCTATACTGGCATTGTTGTTGTTCGGTCTTCTTTCAGTTTTGTTCAACTCTTTGTGACTCCATTTGGGGTTTTCTTGGCAAAGATACTGAAGTGGTTTGCCATTTCCTTCTCCAGTTCATTTTACATTTGAGGAAACTGAGGCAAAAAAGGTTAAGTGACTTGCCC